TACTGAGGCCCCCTGGCTGTGACTGGATTCCCCTTTTGCTCCCACGTTAATCAATTTTACCTGAACTATTACACTGGTAATCTTAGAGAGGTCCAGTTTTTTTCTCACTTTGGACCCAACTGACCTCGTGGTTGTGCTCTATAAAAGTCCCTAGAAAAGACAGTCTTTGGCAACCTTCTCGGAACCCTTCTGTCTCTCTCGTTCAGACAGAAGTTTTCTTTCTGTCAGTTAATATATTCTTCAATTAATATGTTCTCCTCTTAACCTCCATTGTTCCTAAAGTTCATATTTTTATTTTAGAGAACACAGACTGCTACTGGACATCTAGTAGGTGAGAGTTTCTTTTCCCTGTGTCAGTCAGGTAGAGTCACAGTTGACACATGACTGTGATGCTGGCTGTATTAAATACATTCAGAGTGAGCAAGTCGGAAACACTCTGCCTCCAACAGATGTCCACAGTCTACGCTTTTGTCTCCATCTCGCCAGTCTGGGCCATCATCTCTCACTTGAGCCAATATAAAAGTCTTCTAATTTGTTTGCCACTAAAATCTATCTTCCACTGTGACATATATATTACCAGGGATCAAACTCGTAACCTCGCACTTGCCAGGCAGGCACTTATACCACTGAGCTAAATCCCCAGACCCAAGAAATTTTGAGCATAATCTTGTGTGTGTTTTCTTTTCTTTTTTCTTTTTCTTTTTTTTTTTTTTTTTTTTTGCCACCAGGGATCGAACTCAAGACCTTGCACTTGCCAGGCAGATGTTTATGTTGCTGAGCTAAACTTCCAGCCCTTGTGACTTATATTTTTAAAAATTCACCAGACCATTCCTCTGTCTCTGGTTAACTACCTTTCCAGTGAACCAGCAAAATTTTAACAAGGATCCTGCCTACCCAGCCATGTGGCTGGTAATGGGCTTTAATAGTTTTATCTCTTTGTATCAAGTCTTGTCCTTAAACTCTTTCCCTAATTTCTCCTACTTATCTGTTAAGTACACAGACGGCTGATCAGACCCTCAGCTACCTGTTGGGAAAATGACAGGGAATAAAGAAAAACAGAGATAATGTTCAAGGTACAGAGGAGTCCAAGAGTAGATCTGACTCTAGCTGACTGGCTTGGCTACTCCGTACTTTTATTAGTCAGCTAGAAGTGCAGGGGGAAGGGTTGTATGAGTTTCATGCAATAGCCACTACAGAGAACAGGTGGATAAGGGATACACTGAATGAGGAACCAGATTTTCTCTATGCCCAGATGCCTGTATCTTGACAACTGTCCTCAGCAGATGCTATCTTGCTTCAGGAATGCTGGTTATCAGCATTCTGCCCATAGCCAGGGGGCATGTGCCCTTAGCCAGGAGCCATGCAGCCTTCCAAGCTTCCCTGTTGCTGAGGCAAGATAACACTGACCTTGAGACTGTGATATCTGAATTACATAGCCCAGTCTCCAACAAAGTGTTAATTCACAAATGGAAGGAAGGCTGGCGTGTATGCCTGTAATCCTAGCAACTCTGTAGGCTGAGGCAGGAGGATCACTGTAAGTTCAAGGCCGGCCTTAAAAACAAACAAAAAACAAATGGAGGGAGGGTACAAGAAATATTGCATTCTTTTATTATCTTTCAACCAAATTAAATCTACTTGGTCCCACTTGGCTGCACTGCAACAGATATTAAATGTGACCAGTCACTCAGGTGTTCTGTCTCTTTCTAAATTCGAAGAGGCATTTAAGGCATTCATGAACGAGCTAGAAAACCAGTGAAGACATCCAGCCCTCAGCCCATCATGCTCCTCTGACTCCCCTTGCTGTTCCTCATGGCCAAGTCCCAGGGGCCCCTGGAAGGAGACAATACCAAGCTTCAGAGGTCGTGTGGAGTCAGGAAGATGCAGTGTTGAACTTGAGGTCTCTCCTGGGGTGCCCCACAACCATGCACCTCTGCAGTTCACCATCTTATTGGGAGGCACTAGCAATGGGGCACATTTCCTAGTACTCTGGCTTTAGAGCCCCTTCCCTCCTACTCTCTCCACTTCAGGCTATTGGAGGGCAGGTCAGCTTTCTGCTGTGCACAGGGAGCGCAAAGGACTCGGCTACTTCCTTGGAAAACAAGAGAGAATTCAGAACCAAAAATTAGTAGTGCATATTATGTGCGTTATTTATCACACAGTCTCTCTCCTTGATTACCCCGTGTAAATCAGGTCCCCCCCATGGCACTCTTCCATATCCCACAGCAGTCACTATTGGTGCCCACATCCCCTTTAGTGGATCTGTACCCTCTTCTCCAGCTTCTGTGCTGGCTGCCCAAGACCTGGCAGTAGGTTGACTGGAGTGCTGGGGGGCCATGGAAGAGTCAGAGCCAATGACCAACAATCCACCAGTGACCCTGGCCCCTTGACTCAAGGCAGGAAAACCCTCCATTCCACTGCAGTCCAGAGCTCCTGAGGGATTAGGCCAACACATGGCTGCTACTGTCTTTCCCTCCCAGTCCTGCTCCCCCTACTGGCTCTCCTGAGGGCACCTGCACAAGACACCCTGCTTTATTTAGGTTTTGGTTGCCGGAGCCTGACCTAAGCCACATCTTTTATCTTTCTTCCCAGCATACGACAACCTGAAATCATAGATTTGTATGGCTATAGGTTTAATATTCATGGCTGGGGATTTAGCTCAGTGGCATAAGCATCTGCCTTGCAAGTGCGCTGTCGTGAGTTCAATCCCTGGTACCAAAAAACAAAACAAAACAAAACAAAACCCAAAAAACAAAAAAATAGAAGATGAATAATATTCACAGCCCTCCACTAAACAAAGACTCTGAGAAAGTGGGAGCCATACTTATTTGTTCACTACTATCTTCCCAGCACCAAAAATGGTACTTTGTCCAGAGGACAGGTTTCCAGGACAAAGCATCCTAGCGTTTGAGGGCTGTCCTCAAAGTATCTGAGACTAAAAACGGCCCAGGACTGCAAACAGCAATTTCTCAGGGGACTGACAGAAATGTGGTTCTAGGGGGACCGGGTGAATTCCCACCACTTGGGCCAGAAGGAAAAGTGTTGGCACCAAAGGCCTTCGTCCTGGCAGGAATGTACCTGGTTTATCTTAAGCTAGTTTTAGAGTCAAGAGGATCCTGGGAGCCAGCATCAGGTTAGAAAGGTCCACGTATCACTCTAATGGTTTTACCTATCTGTGGTTTGCTGGAAAATGGTGCAGGAAAACCCAGCTTGGAGCAGTCATGGAGGCAATGACTCAAGACAGCTGCAGTTACATCAAGCTGCAACTGTAGAACATGCTTCGAACTGGAAAGCTGGTGGGAAGCAAAGGCTGAAACAGCCCTTCGCCTTCCCCTGCAGACACATTTCTCTTTGAATGGCTCGCTATATACAGCCAAAGCCACCCTGCTACAGTGGAGAGGCCTCTACGAGTCTGCCATTCTTAAGCTGGTCCAGGAGGGGCAATTTGCAAAGCTCCCATTGACAGTGTCTGACTGGCTGAGTGGGGTCACCCAGGTCCTGATATTGAGCCACAGTTCTGCTATGCACTTTGGCCCATGAGGCCATTCATGGTGGGGAATATAGGTCTCAGGTGAGGTCTTAAGCCAAGCAGAACGACCAGTAGCAGTTTCACGGGCGTCATTTAGTTTCAGGTAAAATCAGGGCAACTTTCCTATTTTACCTGTCTACCAGTAGTTCAGGAAAAGCCTAGGCTGGAAATATATAAACACTTGCCAAGTTCCTACCTGCCAGTGTGTTAGATGTAACGTACCGCAAATATAGAACAGCTATTTAATGAGAATGAGAAAACCGTGGCTCTCCATAGTTTTTTTTTTTTTTTTTTTTAAACCAGGGTCTATGTAGCTAGGTCTGGCCTCAAACTCATGGTGATTCTCTTGCTTTAAGTTTTGGAAAAGTTTAGTATTCTTTTGGCATAATTTTTTTTTTTTTTTTTGTCTTTTTGAGACAGGGTTTCTCTGTGCAGTTCAGGCTTGCCTTGAGCTCACTTTGTAGCCTAGGCTGGTCTTGAACCCAATGATCCTCTTGCCACAGCCTCCCAAGTGCAGGGATTACAGGCGTGGGCCACCACACCTGGCTTTTGGCATAAAATTTTTCTGAACTTTTCTCTTATGCTATCTCTTCATTTGAGGCACTGGTGCTTCGGGGTTTTTACTCTGATGAGTGACTTCTGAGCAGGACCACTAACACAGAGGGAGACAGGAGCTGCTAGGCCGTATTTCCAGTCAAAGCCCTGCAATCAATTTACCTGTTTTGTAATGTACTTCTTTCTAAAACATAGCTAAACAGAAGACCTAGGAAAAGGGGAAAAAAAAAAAATCCCAGAAGATAAACCCATGAGTATGTTCTGCAAATTATAAATTATTTACAAATGTTTCAGTAGTGACAAATGTTGAGTGATATTTTGGTTATGTCTCCAAAGGCTTTGAGGAAATAAATGTCATTACCAGATGAAACCAGTGGTTCATCCCAAAGGTTCTGTCCTGTGGCACCAAAGCAGCGGTGTGGAGATCAGAGATTAACTATCAAGTAACTTTTCGATCCAAAAATTTAAGCAAAGTTTGAAAATATCTTGGCAAATCTTAGGTATCAGTATCAGCATCCGCTTACAAGACTTCTCAAAGCGGGGTGTGTGTGAGGAATCAATAATTCTCCGTATGCCTGGCTTCCCCTCCTTCCTTCCCCTCACACTTTCAACTATCTGTCACAGGACATATGTAGGTAGTTGGGAAGTGTTTTTTTTTTTGTCTTTTTTGTTTTTGTCGGTATCAGGGATCGAACTCACGACTGCCTGCTTGCAAGGCAGGCGCTTATGCCGCTGAGTTAAATCCCCAGCCCCTGGAAGTGTTAAGTTTTGATGGTAAAGCAGTATCAGAGATAAGGGTAAATATTTAACCAAATATAAGAAAGTGAAAAAAATTTAGGTTTAAAGAACTAAATAGTCTGCATTCCTGAGAGATCTGGGTTTCTCATTTTGTACTTCGCTGCCACAAACCAGGTGGGTGTACATTTCTGAGTGCTCATTTTATTACTGAGAGTTGAATTAGGACACTGAAAGACAACATTTGTATCAAATATTTTTGAAAGATCCGTTCATGAGGAAGAAGCCAGGAGTCAGTTTCCGATGGGGGGCACATTCTCATGGAGGTACTGTAAGGCCAGGTCCGTCCACTTCATTTCCTGTTCTTTCACAGATTCTGTGGTGCCTCCATTGTCTTGCTCAGGTTCCGGAAGTTCATTCTGAAAAGGTACACAATGGGCATTCAGAGCAAAGAGTTTCTTTACAACTCAAGAGTACTTAGGATTAAAATCTGTGAGCTCCTGGAAACAGGCAGCGTATTTGATATGTATATTCAGAAAGACAGATCCAGGACACAGAGAAGTGAGGAAAATACCAAAGCATTGCTCAGAAGTGGCCTGGCCCAGGGAAAATGGGCACTGTGATTCTGGAGTTTGTGCAGGAGACAGTGGAGCACAGGGCTGAGGGCAGGGGCTTCTGGGAGCCCACCGGGCCACCAGCTCATGACTCTACCTCTTACCAGGTTAATTAGACAATGTACTCAACCCCCTGCGACTTTATGCTTCCTTCTGGGCAAGGGGGAGAAAGAAGTAGCCGTCATCTCCTAGACTGCTCAGAGGACTAATGTGATTTAGAAGAGGTGCTGAGGCACTCACTGTCTGGGGCATCTAGCGCTCCAGAAGTATTTGACATTATTAATAAGTTACCAATACTAAATCTTTCTTTGGTTTGGGGTGGCTGCTAAAGAATATTAGATTTTCTGACAAGGAAATACGTAAAAAATTATGCTGTATGCAACATGCCTGTTATATGAAGGAAGAGGTGGTGAAGGGCAGAGAACATAACGGGAGAGATCGCCCCCTAGTGGCGAAGGAGAGCAACAAAACACACAGCAAACACCAATTCGTAGCCTCCAAGCCATTTCATAAAATGCGTAAGCCACGGCTACACTCAGGACAGATGCTGTGTGGAGCTCTCTGCAGCCACTCCTATCCAAAACAGAGTGCAGGTGTGGTACCAGGGAACCAGTTCTTGGCCTGTACTCCAGAGTCTGATGTTCCTTCCTATGCTGCTTTTGGGCAGACCGGCTGAACCACAAGAGACCAAGGCCTAGTCACTCATCCCCCAGGGACATCCGGCTACTCACTGCCACACACGAGACTGCCCTAGATTACGCATTTCCAGGCAGGCTACTGGCTGACTTTACAACATAAGCAAGCCTTCTGTTAACGAGCAGAGCCAGTGCAGACTCCAAGACCTCAGGTGAGCTGCAAAACGAGACAGCTGTTTAAGATGCTACTTTTGGGGGCAATTTGTCACACAGCAGAGGCTCACCTATATATCAGTGTCACAAGACAAAGGAAAAGGTATGTATCAGCCACACAGCCAGGTTACCACCTAGAAGTCACTAGGGAAATTTCTCTCTCCCTCATTCCTTATAACTATCCCCAATTTCACTATAAACGTTTCCAAAACTCAGTAAGTTTCCACCATTTTCTTGATTTTGTTCTGGCACTGGTTCTTTGCCTACTTCACTGCAGTAACTTCCTAACTGGTCTCACTCACTCCTTTCTCCACTTCAGGCCATCTCTAATAATGCTGCTAAACTGACTTTCTGAAAGCCAAATACAGATCTTTTTTTGTCTTTTTTGAGACGGGGTCTCACTATGTGGTTCAGGCTGGCCTCGAGCTCACTTTGTAGCTCAGGCTGGTCTCTAACTCGCCACGATCCTACCACCTCAGCCTCCTGAGTGCTGGGATTACAGGCGTGAGCCACCATGCCCAGCTCAAATACAGATCTTCAGAAGAGATCTAAGTGTGGCAATAAGTATCTCTCGCCAAGTGTGTGCCCAATTTTCCTGTAAACTGGTCAGACAAAGGTGCTCTCCATCCACCCTGAATGTCTCACTGTCTGCCACAGCCTTTCTAAAGTCTAGGCCTGTACACATCTCTTCTGCTGATGTCCCCTCGGCCACCCCAACTCCTGGTCCTGCCTCATCATCTGGCTTAAACTCTACACCTTCTCTGAAGCCTTTCCACTGCCTGCCAGGCAACTGACACTCTACAGACACTACAACTTTTCACAGGCCACTGTGAAGCCATCAGTTACTTCTACACAGCCTCTTTAGGCACCCATACTCTTATGACACCTAGTAGGCTTCACTGAAAGGAATGAGTAAGCAAAAGCTTGCAAGAGTGGTCCGGAGCTTCCCAGATCTAGGTACAAAAATCCAACCTATCAATTCTCAGACTTCTGGCAGTTTTCTTCTCGATCCTGTTTTCCTGCAAAATGTATGTAATGCCACTTCCCTTGCAGAATTGTTTTAAGCAATAGTGATAATGTAAATCTTCAACATTAGTCCAGAGCATAAAATGGATTCTCAATAAATGGCAGCTATAATTCTTCTTACGTCTGTTCCTTTGACTATTTCCCTAAGCTTGAACTAAGCTGTAACTTGATATTTGACATGTGTAGAATTCATGGAACATGGTACTTTCTTTTGTTCTTAAAGGTAGGGGAGCTGAATAGTTTCTCTGTTTTTTTTTTGTCTTTTTCATTTTTATCAGTACCAGGGATCAAAAGTTTCTCTGTTAATTAGTAGCAGCGGACAATGTGCCTGCATTTTACTAACTGCACCTGCAGCTGCACACTTAAAAGTCCCCAGGCCCTAGTCTTCCTCTTCTGTGTTAGATCTCTATGACAGAAATGAGACTTTTAATGAGCATTATATAAGCAAAGATTTGGGATCACTTATTACATCAACCTAACAAGGTCCTTTCAGTGAAGTTTTCCAGTGATCAGGAAAGGGAAGAAAAGACTGTGTCAGGAGTTGTTCTAAATGGTAAAGAAGAAAAGTCAGATAACCTCTGAATATTTTCTTGTGAACCTCACACAGGTGTGTTCCAGGCACGTGAGTGCTGAAAAACATCGAGCAAGACCCTGTCTCAAAAACAAACAAACAAAACACGAACAAAAGACAAAACCCAAAAAACTCATCAGACTGATGAGCCATAAGAAGGGAGGCAAGAAATACACGCTGCTGCTTACCATTCCTCCGTCTTACGCACTAGGGTCAGATTATTTGGTTTACATCTAGCTTCGGGGTGGTGGACACAATACAGTTCAGGTGCCACTAACTACCTATGTTTCTCTCCAAACAAACAGGGAGGCTAGATGCCCTCCAGGGGCTGGTAGCGTACATTATAGCTTGTGATTTATTAGTTAATTTTTGTGGTACTATGGACTTAAGCCAGGGTCTTTGCACTCAGCTACACCATAAGCCCTTCTTATTTTTTGTTTTGAGACAGTCTTGCACTCAGGTCCTCAGCCTGGGCTCAAACTTGTGATCCTTCTGCTTCAGCTTCCCACCTGACTTCTTTATCACACTAGGTAATTTTCCATCCATAGCCCACTTCTGCTAGGCTTTTCCAGGTGACAAGTTTAACCCATTATCCTCAGCTCAACTTATAACTTACCAGTGGTATTGCAACATCCTCATAAGGCAGTTTGTCTTCTCGCCAAGCATCGTCAATCAAATCCAAGATTCTCCCATCTCTCTGCACCTCGCTATCCATTTTCCTGCAGCTGTGATCTTGTCAGATCTGCAAGGCAAAGAAGTTACTTCTTCAACATGAAGACTAAGGATATCTAGTACTGGAATTCCCCAGACTTTGTAGCCAGGCCTATTTTTTGGTGTATCACTCTGAGAAAGGCTGACTTGTATGGGTCTGATGACAACTCATTTTTTTTTTTTTTTTGCTTTTTCCTTTTTATCGGTACCGGGGATCGAACTCACGACTGCCTGCTTGCAAGGCAGGCGCTTATGCCACTGAGCTAAATATCCAGCCCCGACAACTCATTTTTAAGACCACAGATGTTGCTCTGCCTCAGCTGACAGATGCTTTCCAGTGTATAACAGACAGACACAGTCCATTTGACACACCAGTGTCCCAGAATGTGACAAGAAGGCAACACACTTCTAAATAAAGTTCTCAGATACTCTGCATCCAAATGTACATTTTCTTAACTTGTACATTCACCTTTCCCTGTTCACAATACCTTTGATGAGTCTCTGATTCATAAACGTCTGCTAAATATTCTCTCCAGCTGCTCTAGATCTTTTCATACTATTTCTGCAACACTCTCCATTTTCTGTGGCTCAAATTTCAGTAGTTTTAGGCAAAGGACCTAAATTAATATACTAGGATGACACTGAGCCAGACTATGGAAAGTGACCAACCACAGGCTGACACAAATCCCCAAGGCAAGAACAGTATGGGCATATCAGCCCAAGGAAAACGCCTCCTTCCTTAACAATGATGTAGGCTGAACTCCTGAGAGGAGAATCTCCAGGCGAACATCAGAGGCAGAATTCCAAATTGCTCCAATTTCTGCTTTCCTCTGGGCTCTTTTCCTGACTCTTAATGCTGTATTCCCTGCAATGCCTGGTCCCAGGGATCACAATGCTTACTTAGGCCGCTGACCATGGCTGATTCTTCATTTTTCTCCCAAACAGCTATAACTACTCAGCTTGGAGAGTACTTCTGGGTTTCTTATTTCTAAATGTGGGTCCTGCCCCATCCAAGGCATCACACTAAACCTAAGATGAGAATTCCAAAGCCCTGGAAGCTATTGGCACCAATGGCTCACATCACTCCTAATTTCTGAGACTATCGAGATTTGTGCAAGATACGATCTTTGAAGTGAAATCCAATAGTGTAGTTGCAAGGTACCAGCCCTAACATTTAGGTAACAACTATATGTAGGATAAGGATTCAGGCAAAATGGAGTGAAAGGTGCCCAGTTACTTCTGCTACCAGGAACCAGGTCAGGTCTTAATGTTTTGTTCAGAATTAATTTAGTATTACTACTCAAAACCAGTTGAAGAAGCGGACTGTAGGGTATCACACACAAGCAGTCCTTACTTTCAGTTTGTTATACCTTTGTTGTTTCCATCTTTTGTAAAGAGTGTCCTTTATTCTGTGCCAATCCCCTGTCCCCCCAGCTCTGTCCCCTGGTATACCCTTAAGACTTTGTTCCGCTCATCTGTCCAGGCCCACAAAAATCACATCTTTTAATAAAGTTTCCTCAAATGGCTCCAGCTTTAGCAGGCTTTCTTAAAGGAATTCATTACACAAGTTTGGTCAGCTTTGCGAGGGAGAACTACTATCTCCAACTATTAGGTGTAAATTTTGCAACGATTCCCTAACAGACCTTTTCTTTTCTTTTTATCGGTACCGGGGATTGAACTCACGACCACACACTTGCAAGGCAGGCGCTTATGCCACTGAGCTAAAATCCCCAGCCCTGCTAACAGACCTTTTCAATCTCTCACACTCAATCTTCTTCTACCCATCTTCCAAACACCTGTCGCCTCTGCACTTAAAAGCCTTTTTTCCTCACCGGAAAAATCTCTTTCCAAATGCAGCGCTGGTTGTCAACTCTTTGAGGTCAATATTCAATTTCCAGGGTTGGGCGCTAAGGTTACCTTAAGGGTAATTAGCCCTTAAGGTCCTGGGAGCATCAAGACAATCAATGTCCAGGTTACACTTACTTTCCTAAGACAGCAGTCCACTTTCCCGACCATTTTCCTTTTACAAGGGATAGTCTCCAAGCGTGCAGTATTCTTTTCTTTTCCTATTTTGCTGGCTAACTCACGACTCCCAGGACGCTTCCTTCAGGAGGCGTCACTTTAAATCCCAGGGTGAGCACGCGATACTACAATCCACTTCTCCCGTTCCACAGTCTCCTGGGCGAAATACACAATACCAACTGGGGAGCCTGTCACACCATGCAGATATGTGTCTTACAGAAATGCGATGCGTGCGTTCCCGAGACTGTAGGACGTTTTACCAATCTATATATTTTACAGGCTTGTATAAGTGTATTTCTAAGATCGGAGAAAGGAAGCGTTTCCCGTCTCTAGAAATGACCCTCGCAGGGCACCATCGTCCGAACCAGTGAATGAGACACCGCCCACAACCACCGCTTCAGGCCCCAAGGCCGGACATACCAAATGCAGTAGCACACAGGGGGTGGTCTAGTATTTCTATCCACGTTCCTTTCCGCACAGCATTGCGTACAGTAAGGAAAATGATTAGTAGGGGTGAGCTGACGGCCTCGGCCGCCAGGACTATAGGAAACCCAACTCTAGGGACCGAACTTGTTCCACCCCTCCGAAACCTAGGCGAGGACAAGACAAACCCTTACCCTCGTCCAGTGCGCTGGACCTGCTTGCTACCTTCCGGCCGTATCTCGACGTCACGTGACCCGCCGACGATTCTCAAATTCCCCGGATGTGGATGAGCCCATTCGCTTGTGCGCAGGGGAGGTCTGGAGGAGATATTGTGTCAAGTAAGAGGGTTGAGGCAGTGGCCTGAACGGAAGTGCCGACGCCGGAGGCTGGACTTAAGATTGGTGGTGACGCGCGTGCGCGCTTTGGCCTGAGGTAACGGCGGGAAGGCTCGGGGACGCGCGTACTACCACCTTTAACGGTCTGAGCGCACAGAGGACCGGCGAGCCGCGGGCGTGTGCTGGTCCGTAGACGGCCGTGGCAGCCCTGGTGTCGCTGACACCCAGGCCACATGGCTCGCGGCTGGTTCCCGCTGCACCCCGCAGGCCGTCGGGCCTACCGGGAGGCCGCGCCAGCGCCCCCTGCCCATCCCGCTGCGCGGCCCCGCCCCATCAGGTGGCCGCCTCCTCCCGTGCTGGGCCGGGCTCCCTCAGGGGCGCGGGGAGGCTGCTGCGGTCCGGGTGGTTTGGGGAGGAGAGGCAGAGGCACCACCGCCTCCCGGCCCCGTTGCTGTGAGAGCTAGACGTCCAGCTTCGTGGAGACCTTTTCATTTGTGGCAGGTGCTACCGGGACGTTAATGTTGGCATTTCAAGAAAAACCGGCAAAAATCGAGAGGGACTGAAATGGGGGAGAGTTGAACTTACTGATGGCTCCATGCATACCGAAACGAAAGATAGAGGGGAGTTTTTTTAAAAGGACGGTATCTTAATACATCTTAATTATGAAGGAACTTGAAGACACCGAGTCACGGTTCAGAATGTGGTTTTTCTCATGTGTCTTACACCAGGAGAGTAGAATGATGTCAGAGACTAGCTTTCGTTTGTAGTTATAAGGCAGTACACATGCAGTTTCCCCAAAGCCTAATGCCCGGTTCCTTAGACTTTTTTTTTTTCTCTCGATAAAACGTATGGAAATCAGGACCTTGTGCTTGCCTGGCAGGTGCTGCACCGCTGAGCTGTATCCCTGGTCCTACACCAATTAAAAAAAAAAAAAAAAAACTTCAATAAAAAGATACTGTAGTTAGGTACGTCTTACTTGCACAGTTGATCATATACTGTACTTGCATTTCTGTATTTGTTTGGCTTTGAATCCAGGGCCTTTGTATTGAGTTACATTCCCAGCCTTTATTTTTATGATCTTGGGCTGGGGATTTAACTCAGCGGCTAAATTAGGTCTGTCTGGCAAGTGTGAGGTCCTAAATTTGATCCCCGGTATCAAGAAAAAGCAAAACCAAAAACCTACTTCGATAAGGTGCTGTTTGTCCAGCCTGGACAAACGTGATCCTTCTGCCCAAATACACAAAGTACTGGGATTACAGACCCACGGTCACGCCAAGCTTTATTTTGATTTTAATTTTATTTTATTTATTTTGGAAGCAAGAGCTCACTAAAGCTACTCAGCCTGGCCTCCAACTAGCAGTGATCCTCCTGCTTCAGCCTCCTGAGTGCTGGGATAACAGGCAATCCCTGCCACACATTGTAGTTTTATATGAGGAAATCAAAGATCATTGACTACATACTGCCTCCAGATACTTACGTTTACATTTAGTAGCTGTAGTTTAATAAGAGGGTGTGTATTTTCCTATTTGGAATACAGTGCTAATTTTCAAACTGAACAATTATCATTGATGAATATAATAAAGACTGAGACACTAAAATGGGTTTGAGGTTTATAGACATTCAGGCACATTATCCTTTAAAATAATACTTGGATTCAATTTAAAAATTGTAAAACTTGACATCAAATGTGGTAGCATTTGCCTGTAGTCCCAGCAGTTTGGAGGCTGAGGCAGAAGAGTTGCCGTGAGTTTGAGGTCAACCTAGGCTACATAGTGAGTTTTAAGGCCATCCTAAACTCTGGATGGAGATTTTGTCTCAAAAAAAAAAAAAAACCACAAAGAAAAAAATTGCATTTGTTAATTTTACTGATGTTACTTCCTGCCTTTGAGAGGTGGAAGACTTTCCACTTAGTGTTTTCATTTATGTTGTGGCAGATGGTGTCAGCATCAGTAGTCCAGTCTGTTGTAGCTAAATCCCCACCCCCCACAGCTAGAGTTTTAGTGTTAGAAAACCACAATAAGACCATGCATACATGAATTAACAAAATTCCATCATGTCAATATCCAGCCAAGGTTCAAATTTCCTCAGTTGTTCCTTAAGTATTTACAACGGCTTATTTAGACCTAAATCCCTCAGAGTTGTTTGATTTGGTTGATACACATTTTAAATCTTTTCATCTGACATTTTCTACTTCCTTTTTTCCCCCTTGCCATTCTAAATTTAGCTGATTGTAGCACATGGTTTTCTGTAATACATAACTCTATGTTTTCTCACCTGGTGGGTAGATCTAGAATTGTACTATCAGCCTTTAGCCAGCTCTGGCTACTTAATTAAAGTGAAATAAAATTAAAAGTTTGGTTCCCTACTTGCATTAGTCACATTTGAAGTGTTCAGTCATCACAGATTGTCTACTGACTTTTGTTGGAGTAGTGTTGTATAAAAATTTCCATAATTGTAGAAAGTTCTGTTGAACCACGGGGATCTAGAAAGATTCAAACTTGATTTTTGATTTAGGGACAAGAAAATTCATAGGTATAGATTTCATATCATGAAAATGACTATTATTTTCATTGTCAGGGGACACAATGTCTGAGATGTTCCATTCGTGATGCTGTGATTAAGCAGCGTAGTGGGTTCTGGTTGTGTTACCTGGATACATCTTATGGGAAGTTCCCCAAGAGCCTTTCACTTAGTGAGAAAATGTGTGATTTGCCTCTATCCATTATGACATTAGGAGTTGCAAGACAGTGCTTTCCTAGTGGCATTCCTTCAGTATCTATGCATCTTTTATGAAGAACTTTCCAGCATTGGACTATCCTGAAATACAGTTTGTACAAGAAAGACAAGAGATATGCTTAATTTTTCTGTTTTCAGATGATAGTAATAAGTTGATGGCCTAGCAGCCATCAAATATACCCCATGAAGGTTTTTGCCTTTTAAAATTATTATAATGACTGGGTGTGGTGGCACACTTCTGTGATCCAAGTACTTAGGAGGCTGAGGCAAGAGGATCTTCGTAAGTTCGAGATCAGCCTGGGCTACCAAGTGAGCTCATGGCCAGCCTGAACTGCGTAGTGAGACCCTGTCTCAAAAAAACAAAACAAAAAACTATTATAATTAATTTTCAGACTTTAATGTACTAAAACTTTTTTTTTGAAGCAAGTTCTCAACTCACTTGGTATCCTAGGCTGGCCTTGAACTTGTGGCAGTTCTCTTGGCTCAGCTTCCCAATTGCTGGGATTATAGGCATGTGCCACTGTGCTCAGCTGAACTATTTCAACATACTGCAGTCTTTTTTTTTTTAAATACTCAGATTGTTCTTCTTTTGCCAGTCACTGCCCCTTTAAGTTGGCTCCATTCCATTTGATATAGCTAGTAGTTCTGATAATTTCCTTGCCTTTTGGTGAAACATGTTCCTCCCTTATACACCTCTGGCTTCCAGAAAACTCGTGTTTTACTGAGTGGAAGGTGGTACTTAGAGACTACTGTCTGTGTGATAGAGGTGTTCTTATTACTAGGTTGGGCATTGATTCTGGGATTCACAATGTAGAGTTGGGAAGTACATTTAAAAAAAAAAATATAGAGAGTTCATACTATTTGCAATTTAAACTTAATTTTATGGCTTTAAAAACATCCGACTTTATATTTGTATCTTCTCTTTCACTGAAAGTCTTGGGATAGTATCTACTACCATTAATATAATTACTTTTTTCCTTATATTGTATTCAATATTTTACAATTAATGATGCCAATTTTATTATTAACAATATGATTCTTAAATAGTGCTTAGGAATTTCTTTGTACTTCTTTTTTAGAGTTAGTATACTAGGAATGTGTATGATAAAATATTTTACTTTAAAGGCATATGAAATCATTTGTATTGTTTGCTAATTTGATACCAGGTTGATAGTTGGTTAATTTTATTTCCAGTTTTTCAGTACTAATTTTTAAATTTATATAGAGATTGTTATCTTTTTCTATAGTTTTATGATATTCCATTGGTGGATGAATATTCAACTAATTCCTGTTGATAAATATTTGTATTTCCTACTACTACTACAAATGAATACCTTTGTGCATATATTTTGTATTTTTGAGTATATGTTTGGGACAGACTCCTGAAAGTAGTAGTTTTGGATCAAAGGATAAATATGAAAATCTCCTTTATAGTAGTTACACAGTTTGTGTCTATTCCTGCCTACGTTGTATATGAGGGCCTGTTTCCCCAGAGCCTTGTCATCAGTATATTGCTGAACTTTTAATTTTTAGTAATCTGATAATGAAAGAAAGAGCAACTTCATGAAATTTTAATTTGCGTTTTTCTTTTGAGGAGAATTGAGCATTTTTGGTATATGTAAGGTTATTTATACTTTTTTCTGTGTACAGTTCGTATCTTCTGCCCATTTTTTCATAGGTTTTTTTTTTTAACATAAATTTTATAAACTA